AAAATAGTTTATTATTATTAAATAAATAATTACTATAAGTGTGATTGATCTAATTATAAACACACTAGTGTACAGATTGAACTACTGTTGATGTAGCACGTAGCAGCCACGTTCAGTTTGTATGCTCCCTAAATCTGGAACAAACTCCCAGAAAACTGCAGGTCTGCTGAAACTCTCAGCTCTTTTAAATCGAGGTTGAAGACACACCTGTTTACAGCTGCCTTTCAATAAACAATTTGAATGAGATTTGAAATCTTAACTCTGCACTGTAACTTTTAACTCTTTTTATATTTTTACTTTATTTATTTCAATTAATTTCATTTGAATTATTTTTATTTGAACATATTTTCAGATTTAATAATTTCAGTCATTTTTAAATTTCCTATTTTAATGTTTCTCTTCTTTCCTCTGTCATGATGCTTTTGGTGTTTTGTGTGAAGCACTTTGAATTGTTGTTGAAATGTGCTCTATAAATAAACTTGCCTTGCCCTGTAAGAAAGAGTCTCAGTGCTAAACTGGCACTTCCTGCAGTCCTGACTTGTCACCCATTAAAAGTGTTTTTGAGCATTATGAAAGGTGTAAAAGGAGTCCTTGAACTGTTGAACATTTTAAATCCTACATTAAGCAAGAATGGTAAAACATTACCCTCTTAAAGTTACAGAAACTGGTCTCCTGTGTTGTTTAAAGAAAAGTGTGATGCAACAGAGCGGTACACATGACCCTGTCCCAACTTTTGAAAAGTGTTGCTGGCATTAAATTCAAATTGGCGTATCATTTTCTGTAAACATTTTATGTTTTCTTGTGATTTTATTTTTTTTTAAATCAGGGTTTCAATATTTTTAAATTCATCACAATCAGTTTTGTTTACTTTTGACAACTTTTTGACCAAAAAAACAACATCTTGAGAAAGTCAATGTTCTTAATTAAATTTTTTGTAGTATTTAACTTTGCAGACAAGTTGAGTCTTTCTGAATGTATGTATATATATGTGTGTGTGTGTGTGTGTGTGTGTGTGTGTGTGTGTGTGTGTGTTCACACCTCTTCTTTTTTCACTACTCAAATACCTCCTGATCGTCCATTTATTTCAGCTATATTAATTACATTTCAGTTAATAGTATTTCTGCCACTTGTCTTTCGAGTTAGTTGTAGTCATATTGGTCATTGATGATCTGGTGATCATCATCCTGTACAACACTTTCTTTGCAAATTAATCATTCATTTTACAAAAGTATGAATGTGTTGTCTGATGATCTTAGCGGATGATTTTTTTGGTCTGACATCATTAATTCAGTGAATGATTTATTTGTAATATTCAAATTATTTAATCCACTGAAATCACAGTCACACAAAGATAGAGCGTACTTACTGAACATGATTCTTGTTGTGATGTTGCTGTAGCTGTAGTAAATATATTTAGAGGTTATGTGTTTCTTTTCCTCCACTTTTGGTTCTTCAGTTCCACAGTAGTAAAGACCTTCATCTGACTCAGTGATGTTCAGGATCAGCAGGTCGTAGGAGTCAGAGGACTGGTTCTTCAATAAATGGAAATTAGGAGGAAGACTTTCTGTCCAGGAACCCTTGTTACGTTTCAGAACGAGTGAAGGCTGGTTCTCATGAGAACAGTTCCTGTACCACACGATGTAAACTCCAGTTGATCTTTTGCAGTCACAGTAGAGAGTGATGTTGTCTCCTGGTCTGACCGTCACCTTCAACTCTGATCCACAAACACAGTCAGGACTCAAGGAAACCACTGCTGGAATTCAAACAAGATCATAACAGCAGTTTAAAATGTGCACAGCTATACAGGAAGACAAAATGACAAGGGCACTAGAACGTTAGTATTCTTCTTTTAATGTAAAAACATCCTTGTATTAAATCATCCAAACTGTTAATCAAAAGAATTACCTGAGACCAGGAGCAGAACAACGTGACGGCCCTCCATGAGTGACGAGGTCTGAGATGTGAAGACAGAGACACAGGTCTCACTGACATCACACCCATGTAGATGTTTCCATTAAAGGAAGCAGACGCTGTGATTGGCCAGTGAGGTGAAAACTTTTTTTTTTTGCAGATGCCACCTAATGTGACATTTTAGACTTTGATGTCTTATTCTCTCATTGTGTCTTTACCTAACATCCTCTATTAACTTTAAATGCTTTTATTTATTTTCATTTAATTGCTCTTATTACGTCTTTAGTTCTTCCACGGATTACAAGACTCCATGGACGGTCAGAAGATGTTCAGAATAACTTAGAAGCAACTTCTAAGGAGACAAGTGTTGTTTAAGATGATGTGACATTAGCAGATGTGTTTTCTTGATTAAACTGCGACCATGTCTGGTTTTGAATGTTGGTTTAGGTAGGAACCTGTTCTCCCCTCTTTCCAGTACTGCGTACTGCCACTACATGTTTTAAATTTAGACATGAGAATGCAGACGAAAACCCCACTGAACATGTGCTACACTCTGCTTCATAAATGCAACCAGAGCTGACCTCATTTGATCTCACAAAGGTGGGACGTGGTCACCCATATGACATAGATTCAGATATATTGATTGACTGATAGAACGTTATTGTCAGAGAACACTCTCAATAATGTCTCGCATATCTCAGCCGCTCCATTTACAATATAAATAATTAAAGACAATATAAAAATATGCAAACATTTGACCCAACATTCAAACACCAAACAAATATTCAGAAGCCTTTAATGTGCTTTGATCTGAGATTATTCTCCATATTTCTTTTTAGGATTGACTGCTGTAGGAAAGAGTTCACCGTTCATTCCTTAAAACTGACTGGTGCACTCCTGCATGTGTAACAGAGTTAGAATCTACCTCTATGTTGAATTTTTACAAAACAGATAAGGCTGTCGCTACATGGTGGTTTAATAGAGCAACTGTGAGCTGTATTGGTCGGGCCACTAGCTGTTCACACGTAGCTCAGCAATGGAAAACTCTCCCCAGCTGAAGATGTGAGTCCTTTAAATTTGCATGAAACAGTACTGATTACTGTGTTCTGTTGATTTAAACACCAGAATAAAAAAGTGAACCAGAGTGAGAGCAACTCCTGTGTAGTTGTGGCTTCCTTCAACAAGACATGCAGAGACACACAACCAGTCACCCATGTCTAATAACGTGTTTAGAATTAGCTGTGGTGGCTGCAGATCAGTTGAATATCCACCTGAGGTTTTGCTTGACTTTAGACACCACACGCTTCAAAGGGGGTTGAGCAGACTTGTTTTCTTCAGCAGAGTGTGTGAAGTTGCATGAGGGTCTGTTCGTCACTTTCGGTTAACTGTGAATCTATCTGATCGTTCTTGGAATCGTGCGGTGGAGTGTATACAGTCAGATGGATAACTTGAGATAAAAACAAGAAATTGCCTGAAAACAGCTCACGTGAAACAACACTCACTACTATAATGAAAAGTTATGGATCCATTTCAATGAAGAAATATGAATATAAAGCTGTTACTATTTAAGTGCCAGAAACATTTAAATTATAGACTGTCAAATAAATGACTGGCAGAAAAGTTCAATCTTTCTTTGTATAGCGCCAATTCATAACAAGTGTTATCTCCAGACACTTTACAAAAAGCTGTTAAAAGACATTACTCATTGCTATATTACAAACTAAGTCCCAATGTTAATCCATCATTAGCGTAGCACTTTAGCAACATTTTAGCAAAAGTTACAGCGGCAAGAAAACTTTCTTTTAATAGGCAAAAATCTTGAGCAAATCCAGGCTCATGAAGAACAGCCATCCACCGAAACTGTGCCATGCTTGAAAATGGGATAGTGGGCGATGGGATAAGATGCAGGAAGAAGGTTAGGGAACAAGGGGGTGTTGGTCATTCAGGCAGGCCGTCCACCAAACGATCCAGAGGAACCTAAGAGAGCAGTTAAGAATGGTGGGAAGGAAAAATGTGAGGATTCATTTCCCCTCTTTGGTTGTTGTATGTACAGAGTTTATAATACACAAGAGAAGACATGTTGGGCTCAGAGTCCAAGTCTGTGTGTGTGTGTGCGTGTGTGTGTGGATGAATGAGTATATGTCTACAACACATTACAATACAAACAAATGCTGACGGCAGACTGGTGGCCAGGGAAGAGTTGAGAGGACTGAGCAGGTCTGCTTTATAGCATCCTGAAACCAGCATGCTCAGGTGTGCTGCATTACAGAGTCGTCTCAGACTCCACCCACATCTACCTGCAACAAGGAGAACACAGCAAGCAAAAGAGAGAACAAACAGGTAGAGAGGCCAACACTGAGGCCGTCAACATTTCTATACTAAGGATCTCAAAAGAAAACCCATTTCTAACCTTCTGTCAGCCATCTTGATTCTGAGAAATTTCTGGTGCACTTACAACTGCTGGCCAGTGGGTGGCAGTGTATGGATTGACTTACCAACGTCTGCTGAAGTGGCTGATGTGAAACCAATCTATCAAACTCTATGAACTTAGTGGATAAAGGCTTCTGAATAGCTGTCCACTGCAGTGAGCACGATGTGTGGAAGGGTTATGTGCATGACTGCATGAATCCTGGTTCAATAAAAAAAGTTTGTGTTGTGGCTAGAAAACAACAACAAATGATGAGTTCCCAATGAGATGAGAAATTCAGAGGTTTTCAAATGGATAATGTGGCACCATGTTTCGTCTGTCTTCTGTTGATGACTTATATGTAATATATATTTTGAACATTACTGATGAACTTCAAAATAACTTATTGTATGATTGTAATGTTGTCACAACGCCTCCCATTCTGTTGGTGGCTTATTTGTGGTTTGTCTTGTACCTTTTCCTGTGTCAGAGCGGCAACAACCACACTTTGTTTCCATCATACAATCTCTCTCTCTCTCTCTCTCTCTCTCTCTCACACACACACACACACACACACACACACACACACACACACACACACACACACACACACACACACACACACACTCTGACTCCTACGACCTGCTGATCTTGAACATCACTGAGTCAGATGACAGTCTTTACTACTGTGGAACTGAAGAACAAAAAGTGGAGGATAAGGAGCAAATAACTTCTAAATATATTTATATCTACAGCAACATCACAACAAGAATCATATTCAGTAAGTACGCTCTGTCTTTGTGTGACTGTGATTTCAGTGGATTCAATCATTTGAATAATACATAAAATCATTCACTGAATTAATGATGTCAGACCATAAACATCATCCGCTAAGATCATCAGACAACACATTCATACTTTTGTAAAATGAATGATTAATTTGCGAAGAAAGTGTTGTACAGGATGATGATCACCAGATCATCAATGACCAATATGACTACAACTAACTCGAAAGACAAGTGGCAGAAATACTATTAAGAAGTGAAAAAAGAAGAGGTGTGAACACACACACACACACACACACACACACACACACACACACACACACACACACACACACACACACACACACACACACAAATATATATATACATACATTCAGAAAGACTCAACCTGTCTGCAAAGTTAAATACTACAAAAAATTAAATTAAGAACATTGACTTTCTCATGTTATAGTTTTTTTGGGCAAAAAGTTTGCACGTTGTGTTAAAAAGTAAATCAAACAAAATGTGATGAATCTAAAAATATTAAAACCCTGAATTGATTTGAAATAAGCACAAGAAAATAGAAAATGTTTACAGAAAATTATACGCCGTTTTGAATTTAATGCTAGCAACACTTTTCAAAAGTCAGGACAGGGTCATGTGTACCGCTCTGTTGCATCACACTTTTCTTTAAACAACACTTTAAAGCGTTTTGGGAACTGAGGAGACCAGTTTCTGTCACTTTAAGAGTGTAATGTTTTACCATTCTTGCTTAATGTAGGATTTAAAATGTTCAACAGTTTAAGGACTCCTTTTACACCTTTCATACAGCTCAAAAACACTTTCAATGGGTGACAAGAAGGCCAGTTTAGCACCTGGACTCTTTCTTACAGGGACATACTGTCGTAAAATGTCCAGAACATAGTTTGGGATTGTGTTGCTGAAACACGTAAGAAAAGAAGTTCTCTATTTGGCAGCACATGTAGCTCTTACTCCCGTATACATGGTTCAGCATTAATGGTGCCTTCATAAAATGTTCATGTTACTCGTGCCATGTGCAGTAATGGTGCGTTCTATTTGATCTTGGAAGTCAGGAACTCCCAGTTGCTCATTTGAAACTTCATCAGGAGCGCCCCCCCTGTAGTCAGAATTTCTACTTAGAAACCCAGAGATGTTTCATAATCCCGAGTTAAAATCCAACATGGTTGCTACGTGCATCAATAGTAGTTCAATTTGTACACTAGTGTGTTTATAATTAGGTCAATCACACACACAGTATTGTTGGGGTTTTGCAGAGCCAATATTTGAACAACAATTATGTTTAGATAGTCAAAATTTGATTATCAAATTAATATTAATATGTTTTCTTAATGAATAATTGATATAAATTAACAATATTATTAAACTGAGTTGATCAGAATGGGGCACCACCCTAAAATCAGGGGAAAATAACACAATGATCACAAATTCAGTCATGAATTAATTAATTAACTACTAATATTATTAATAATTAACAACCTGTAATTCATAAATTGAAGGCTTGAAATCTGTACACAAAGCCCTTGCACCCTGCTGTATTACAATGATTATACACAAGTAATCACAAACAACTGCTTTCTTAAATTGTAATAGAGTTTATTTAATTAAAGCCACATCAATCCAAAATCAATACAACTCAATCAACAACACACTGTGTGTGTGTGTGTGTGTGTGGGTGTATGTGTCTGTGTGTGTGTGTGTGTGTGTGTGTGTGTGTGTGTGTGTGTGTGTGTGTGTGTGTGTGTGTGCGTGCGTGCGTGCGTGCGTGTGGGTGTGTGCGTGCGTGTATGTGTGTGTGTTTGCGTGTGTGTGTGTGGACGAGAGAAAGAGAGAGAGAGAGAGGGAAAGATGGCGGCATCCTGTAAGATGGCGGACACTTAACAGAGTAGTCTTCTGGCGTGGTCTATTGTCTACACAGGCAGGACTGAGTTAAGGTTGGTCTCAGCACGATCTATGTCTCTGAGGTGTTTGAACGACTACGAGTGTACAGATCTATATGTGTTAGCGTGTGTATGTGTGTTGGGGGAGGCAGCAGAAAGAGCCTCTTGCTGGCTTTGTTTCAGGCAGGAGGAGACGAGCTGGAAACTTGTTGACAGTTAACCTTGGGTGTTTTTTTGTTAATCATTTTCCAGCCTTTTCTTTCCACCTTCCCAATTTTTTTGAAACATGTCGTTTGCATCAAATTGGGCATATACTTTTCCAAAAACAATAAAATATCCCAGTTTCAACAATTCACGTTGTCTTTGTGCTATTTTCATTCAAATATGGGGTTTCAATGTTTTTTTAGATTCTACATATGTCCCAACTTTTTAGGAATTGTGTTTGTAGATCAGAGTTAAATGAATTTAATCAACACAGCTTTTTACACAACTCATTTAGATGCAGAACCGAATGCGACCTCTTGCCCCAAGATGCTTCAGGACTGTAATGAGTGCTGGATTCTGATCTTCTGTCTGTGTCCAGTTGTATCTATTGTCTCCTCTCTCCTCTCCTCACTTGTGGTCTATCACTGCTGTAAGAAGGGTAACTACCTCACTTTTTCTAGAATATGTATCCACATGTTTGTTTTTAATCACAAAGACACCTTAATGTCTCTTCCACTGTGTCAGTTTCATTGTACTGTACTGATGTTATATTTATTCTTGCAGCTGAAGAACATCCTGTTGATCAGCAAAGACCTGACACTAGAGGTCATCCAAGACAGAGCCAGGTATCTATCACTAAAGTGTAATGTATCAAAGCATTAAATATGTTCAAGGTTGGGCTTCTAAATGACAAATATTCAATCTTAGGATGACGATGTGTGCTATGCTGCTGTGGAAATCCGTCAGAAATCAAAGAGACCAAAGAAGAAGAAGGAACCGCAGACTTCTGACTTCTGCACCTATTCTGCTCTTAATACATCTAAGATGTAACAGGCCTAAGACCAGAGGAATAAAAAAAATGAATTTTATAATGTTGATATATATAGACCATTCTGTCATTGCATAGTTCAAACATTGCTGGCTGTATTAACCACAACATTCATCACGGAAAATATGCGTCATGTGGTCTTATTTCCTTGCGCCACTGAGATGAATTTTGAAAATTAAAGGAGCCGTAAAAATCAGAAATGAAGAACAATCTCATAAGTGTTTGTCGTGGTTGATTACACTTCATCTTCAGAATCTTTATATTCTTAATTGAGATCAATTTCATAAAGTTTGTAATGGCTGCTGGTCTGAATCTAGACTGTTCTCTGGCAATTTCCTGTTTTTATCTCAAGCTAACCATCAACCATGATGCTTTGCCTGTGCAGTCTGATGCAATACAAGTATCAATTATGTTGGAGCTGATTCTGTTAAAGATACTAAAACCTTTATCCTCTTTTTTGTGTAAAGGGAATACATATAAAAGCTCGCAACACAAGACAGATACTGTAACATTTTCTTATAGCTTCTTCAAGACCCTGACCCAATGTTTGCAAGACATCCCATGAAAACAAAGAGTAAACAACAAAGTCAACTTATAACACATGATGTAGCACCCTGGCATCAGTCCGGCTCACAGGAAACCCACACTGACAAAAAAGCCCCTCATACGACGGCACAGCTCATCACACAGGCACACTGAAGCTGCAGGTTAGTTCACAGCTTCGTTGTCAAGGTTCACACTTTATGGTGGCAAGACAGATAGTGACTGAAGAAAGACCCAAGCACATGCGCACAAAGCATAACCAGCCAAGGGTGCAAAAAAAGAGTGTGAGTCTGACACTGTCTCTGAGAACGATCAGTAAGTATAAAGTACTAAAGCTTTTTCATTAAAGAGCCGTAACTAAGCTCAACCTTCATCACGTCTTTGTGCATTCATATTGATTTTGTGACAGCGTGATATTGGAGTGCCAGTCTGTGAATTCACTTTTCTTTTTGGCGTTGCAGAAGCACAGCACAACAGGAGCTTCACATACACACACAGTCAGACATGCACACACACACACACACACACACACACACACAGCGCCGTGCCTCCCCGCTGGCTCCGCTGATCCCGTCTCAGCTATGTAACGCCTCTGTTACTACCTCCAAAGATGGTACAGAGGGTGGATCACTTCGCCCCCCCCATTGCACCTCCGCAACATTCAGATTGAAAGCAACGTCACAAGGGCGTAAATGTAGCAGTCTGAACAGAGCTTAAAGGCAGGGTTGGTCATTTTCGAAAACTAGCCTGATTTTGAAAGTAGCATCCGTCTACACACACCCCCCCTCCTCTGTGCTCCCTCAAAAGCCACGCCCCTCACTTACATGCACAAGCGCCGTTGCTCCAGAAGCGGACCTCAGCTCATCGCTTGCATTGTGTAGAAACTACATTTAGAGGTAAGTAAACACTAAACTTTATCAGAATACATATTTTTAAAAAACCTGACTATTTTACTACTCACAACAACGGCCAACAACAAACTCACAGTATAAACTCCGTCATCGGTGACACGCTTTGAGTGTGGGCTAGTGCACACAAGTAGTATAGAACGAGCAGGGAGACAGTGAGACGTGATTGGTTCATCAGATTGGTACCTTTTTTTACAGGCTTACAACTGCTACAGGTGACGGATTTTCTTTGGTCCTTTGTCAGGACCGAAAGACAATTTCAACCAAAATCTTAAAAAGTGTATCTGGATAAAATGACCAACCCTGCCTTTACGTCCATGTTTTATACAGTCTATGGTTGTTGCTGAGCAGACCTCAAAAAACGAGGGCCAAATCCTCTAAAATAAGGCAGTAAAACCAGAATTTTCTTAATGCTATTTTGACATTAATAAATGTACTTTTTGTTTTTCAGGGGATTTTTGCGCACACAAAAAACCACTAGCTTATAGTAGAGAATATGTTTTGCATCCTCTAATAGGAAATTGATGACAAAAGAGTGTCAATGATATGACAGTTTATAGCCCAAAAGAACATCATTTCATTTCATAATAGACGATAATGCCTGCTGCCCTCATTCAGGTTTTGTTGGTTGGTTTCCGTTGATTTAATTCGTTGTTGTTGCATCATACAACTGTCACAAAACAACCGCAGAGGAAAATGTTCCATTCAATGAGCCAATCACAGGTCACATTTCTTTGAAGGGAAATGTGTGCACAGGTCATAAATTTACTGTTTCACTACCTCTCACCTCCTGGTTGTCGTCAACACATTGACAGGCTGTGCTTTTTGCTTGCTGTCATCTTGGGTAATTTTTTTGTTAGATTACGTTTTATCTGCTGTCCTATGAAATCATTCCCTATTTTTGACTTGTTTTTCTGCATTTGTATTCCAGGAGTTTTTTCCTGCAACCGTGATGGGATTTGTGGATCAGTGTTGGAGGAGATCAAATAAGGTCAGCTCTGGTTGCACATATGAAGCAGAGTGTAGCACATGTTCAGTGGGGTTTTCGTCTGCATTCTCATGTCTAAATT